TTTTTTCCATTTTTTCGTTAAATTAATTATTTTTTATTTTCGAGAGATTTTGACAAAATTTTTTGTTTTCTAAATTAATGAACGACTCTCGCATTACCTTAGTATTTATGACTGTTTTTAGCCAAGTTACAGATTTTTACACTAAAAATTTTCACATTGGGAACTTGAGAACTTGAATTGGTGACACAATTCGAAGTTTTTTGCATTTTTTGTTTTTTAAATTGAATTAATAAACGACTCTCGCTAAAATCGACGCTACCCACCGACCCCGTCGCGCCACACCCGTCACAACGCTTCACGCCCCGTCACAACGCTTCACGCCCCGTCACAACGCCACACCCCGTCACAACGCTTCACGCCCCTCGCTTCACCGCACCCCGGACGCTTCGACGCACGAGTGGTGTCAACATACCCAAAGTGGTGCCAAATGACCCATATCTACTTAAGACTCCACGGTAGAGGTGATATTTCAACAAAGTCAGTTCTGTCCAAGATATTTTCACAAATAGTTTTTATAGATTGTGTGCGTAATGTTGGCACCATCTTGCTGTTTTTTTCTGCAACAACAAATAAATGTTATTTAACAAGATAATGTCCCCACGGAAGCGTACTAAATGATTTTGGTATTAAGTACCTCTTATCGTCATAAGGACTAAGAGCCGTTTTGGATTGCTCGATGCTAATTACTGAGTGTTGGTGGGACCGAATATATCTTTGGCTCGCGGTTTGAATTTTGAATTCTTTAAGACATTTTCCATAGTCTTCATACGTGATTTTATTTCGTACGACGTTATATTTTACTCCTTTTGTCTTTTTCGTTATTCTTAAATTTCCCAAGTCACATTCAATTTTCTCTTTGTTTACTTGTTTTCGTTCTAGACGCTGCCTTTCCTTTTCTCTCTCTTCGTCAGTTATTTGCATTTTAAATGTGTACCTTTTGATCTTAGCCCAATAAAATGTGTAATTATTTTTCCATTTGCCTCGTCCTTCATCAATCCAGGTATTTTTTTATTTAATCGTTCTATCTCGTGTGGGTTATTTTCAGCATAGTCGGGGGTATCAAATTTACTTGGATGCGCTCTTAAAACTCTCTATATGCATCTGAACATTGCAATTCATAAATAAAGCTGTCTGTATCCATATAGAGCAATGAACAGTTTTTTTCTCCCATCGTTGGAAGCATAAGGTTGTAGTGAAAATCATATGGCGAACCAGACGCAATTTATAAAAACTAATTCAATACTAGTTCACCACATATAGGTTAGACGTACACCGACAAAAAAACTATACGGTGACAGTATGAGAATGGCTCGCGGCTAGACAAACAGTGGAGACTGGTCGTGCAGCCCATTGAAGTATACAAAAGTTATCAAAGGGGCGCCAGGTAAATTGGCCCACAGCCTTCCCTACGTTGCTTATGATAAACCACCAACTTACCAATAGGTTTATCGCTAAAATTACCAGTATAGGATACACCAACCTAAATACATGTGAGATAAATAAAAATACAAATTGTCTAAGATCAAGATTTGGTCAAATTTAATGATTAAATAAAATGAAACAAAATACACTGTTATTTCCCTCTACCATAGGCTTAAAAGAAAATAATAATGTAGTAATGCGGGTATTACTGGCTTAAATATGATATCAACAAGTAACACTAGATAAATATATATTACAGGTTAAGATGTTTAATAAAAATTACCAAACGCTAAGGGGACTGGTGTGTGAATTAAAACCAGTAAAAAAAAATGTATTAACTCAAATACGACACCACGTGAGCTCAGGTGTGTGCAGATGATGACATAAAATGTAAACCTAAATAAAAAAATTATCTACCCTTAGGCGCAGTTTACATACCCGGAAAATGTGTAAATATATAAAATACCTGAGACCGCAGTTTCTTTATTTTCTTAACAATATTATCTGAATAAGAAAATTTAACAAAATAGCGCATAAAACTTCGCTTGAAAAACTAAAGCTCGATAAATACCTCGAATTTATCACATAAAATACGTCGTTACTTGTGTGACTTCCTCAATCGGGGTGTCTTCGAGATTTACAATTTCTAAGTCCACTGAGACGCAGCGGGGGGAAGTCCCATTAAAAGCTGTAACGGCGAAGTCGTCGCAGAGAACAGTACGAAGGTCGAAACACCTCCCAGGTCGAATCAGGAGCACATGATGGGCCACGTCCAGCCAGGAAGACGAAAATCAACCACCAAACGGCCAAAATCAGGCAATGGGAAAACCAAAACCCAAAACAAAACGAAAACGAAACGAAACCGGAACCTGAACCATTGTTAGCCAGACCAAGGGTTAAAGACTAGCCGTAAACTACTTGGCTATCTGGATCGTGATTAAGGCTCGATCTTCGGTCTTATTGTAACTGATTCCAAAGATGAAACGTGGCTGGTAAAACCGCCCTTTGGCGAATCTGCGAATATTCCAACACCAAAACAAACTTTTCTACTAAGGACACAAAGCTAGGGGAACATCCGCTACGTTGTATTAGAATGAAATCCCTCAGAAAACAGCAAAATACAGTTGCCGGTAAATACTCTAATACAACGACTTATTCCACGCCAATTCACCTAAAGAATGACTCTTCAAACCTAAAAGCCGTTATCCAGCGCTCGTCACACGAAGATTTGCCGACTAGACCCGAGATTCAAAATCCTAAATTTTGGAACACCAAATCTTACAAAATATCACTAGAAACCTCATATAAATTAATTCCTTCATAAAAAAATTTTTTTCCTTAGTTTCTTAGCACTTAAAAAAATCATTTTCCCCCAAATTAAAATTAATAAAATTTCATTTCTCTACCTTGACCGTAGGCAATCAATATTACATATCTGTTTTTGTATAAACGGAGCTGTGACATCTAACCAGTTGCAAAACTAGAGATGGAGCCTAATGCAACATTTGGAACGTAACAATCATACATACATAATTTGGATATATCGAGGATTGCTGCTCCTATATAGAGGGGTTTATTAAAACATACCTCTGCTTTCTTTAGTTTGGTGGCCACCAAATTTTCGCTAAAGATTGTACGACTATGAAACCGACTACTTGCAATCAGATTTTTGGCTCCATATCTTCCATGCGATTTTTTACATAATTTTACAATACGATGACGCCTTATTTTCTCCATGGTCTTCCCGAACACAGCATTATTCATCAATTTGAACAAATTTTTCTCGAGGCTGCTGCTCGTAAATTGGTATTCAATTCAATGTACGGTCGCAGCCATGCAGATTGATTAAATTTCAAAACTCTATGTATCTTTGTTAAAATTAATTTGTTAGCCAATGCCTTTTTAAGATTTCTATAATGAATAATATATTTTGTTGTGATATAAAGTTGGTATTAACCTTAGTAATTTTGAACCAGGTGGAATGCGGTGTTCGGCAGCAAATGGAAAATCTTTATGTTTGTCGTGTAATTCAGGTGGATATTCCATGTCAACTTGGAAAAAATAGCCCTCCTTTGCATCATCCGGCATTGACATGATGTCTATATGGCCTTCGAGAAGATTATTAACACCAAATTTGGTTACGTCTTCAATCCACTTGAATACTCCTATTGGTAAAGCTTCACTCATGGTCCAGCCATACAGATTGTTTACATCCAAGTACAGGATGTACTTAGAGGGCCGTGTGGGAGCATAACGGGATGTGTATTTATTATTAGCCTCCGAATATCTGTTGCTACAAACAAGTATTCTACCCCTTATGGCTTTTTCCATGAACAAGATCATATCCACATCTTTTAGCAGTTTTAATTTGCATTGTGTGTATTTGAGCATACAATCCCACGTGTATCCTCTCATGGTATAATACCATGCTGGATCTAGTTTATATGTGTCTCGACATTTTTATCGGAACTGCTCAAGCACATCAGCCAGCAGCAGAATATCTGGTTTTAAATACAAATCGCTATATTCTGTCAAATTTTTACAACTAAATTTCTTCCAAACACTTGTGCACATGAGCATACTTCTTTTCACTAATGTATTTATTATTTAGCTTATTATAAAAATGGTTAATATTAGGTAAAGAAATTTCATCTAATTTTTCCGAACTATCAATATAATCATAGCAAAATACTCCTTTACACGTTAGCAAATTCATCATTTAATTGACTAAATTCTCGTTTTATATTTTCTTTTACGACGTATCTAAAATTGATGCCAATTCATCGAGTGAAGCTCCCATGAATCTTAGTGAATCAATAAATCGTAATTTAATTTGATTTTCGTCAGATTGTAATGTAAATAAAATATATTTTTCTTTATTAATGGGAAGTAAGCTCAAGTTCCCATGCTTGCAAAGATCTATGATCATAAAATGCGAATCGTAACCACTAAAATTGTGAAATACGATGGGAACGACAAACAATTTTTTAAAGTTTAAATTACATGCTTGGTGCGCAAATCCCCGTACTTGTCCCGTAAAATGGTCGTGATCTACCATAATTATATCTGTAGCCAAAAAGCGTTTGTCACCAATATGGCAAACAGTTCTCACCAATATGGAATTTACAAATTTGAAAATGTTAGTCATTTCTTTTGCGAACCACTCCATGCAATTTTCACCTCTATAGCTTTTAAAATAAGATAAACTATCATCGTAAGCACATTTCAAATAATAACCTGCACTAAAAGGTACATGTTTTTGATATTTTGCTGTTTTACTTGTAGCATTTTCAATTTCATTGATTCTTTGAAGTATATTGAAGTCCCCTCGTATACGAAATATTAAAATCACCTTATATATTTTTGATAGATCTAAAAATATTTCGTACGTATTTAAACGCAAATATCTTTTCATTTTTTTTTCTTAGGTCGGCCAAGTTGAAATAAACCATTTTAGAGTTGTTTATTTATTTTAACTTCCTCGGCAAATTCTTGTTTTATCAGAAGCCGCAATTTTAATGCGTCGCAAAAAGATATGTACGTCGTTTCGTGGTGTCTTGTTATGTCAGCGTTTGTATGTATGCGTTCAATTTTAATAGAATTTCTTCACTCTCGTTGTAGCAGCTTTCAACAGCGGTTCAACGTTATGTCCAGATTCACGTCGAATTTGTAAAGTATCCTGTTTTGGTCTTTTGTTATGAAGAAAATGTAGCAGTTTATTATCTGTTTTGTGGCAGTAAATGCTTCAATTATTAATGTTTTGAGTGAGGATTGGAGGACATCCTCGTTTTGTTTTTCTTTTGTTCCTGCTTTTATCCAAGGCTTTTGGCAGTTTTGGAGACGGAGGTTTTCGTGATGCAGAGAGAGTGGAGCCCTCAGTTCCAGGTTCCAGTTATGGTTTCAGAAACTGAAGTGTGATCATGTGAATTAAGGTAACATTTTGTTTAAATTTTAAACTAAAGCCAGACATTTTTTTTATAAAATAATAATTGCTTTCGTTGACATTTAACATTGTAAATTTTAGGTTTTGAGTAAAGCTGTCAATTTGTGTTCAGTTTTTTTTTAAATTTAATGTTAATTTATGACAGCTCGTTTTAGTATTTTTGATGTTGATTTGTTTTTTTTTTGTTTAAAAAGGTTAACCTCCATGCAATTGTGTAAGTTTTGTAGCAATGGAGTTTGTTAATGGATGACACATGTAAGTTTTTTGGAATTTTGTATTTCTCCAAGTTTTTGTGTTTTGTTTTTTCTCCATGTAGAATAATGTGGATGTGTTTTTTCTAAATCTCTATTGACAGTTAAATGAAACATGAGCCATTTCCTATGTCTACTGTATATATTAACTTCTAAAGAAATTACTGTAGACAGCGCGGCCCCCGAATCTTTTTCTGCAAATTCAGACAGTTTTGTAAAAATTTTATCCTTAACATTTTCACTAATCCAAAGATATAACTCGGTCGATGTGTCTAAATTAGCATTTTTTGTATTGAAATATTTTAAATATAAACTTTCACTATCACTCGATTTTTTAATGAATTCACCGCAAAATGCAATATTGACTTTAAGTATTCTATTTTTTTTTTCAATATAATTTTAATTTTTTTACTAAAAGCTGTAAAAGCATCATCCAAAAACATTCCCACATCCTTATGAAATAAATTGACTATTATCCCGGTTTTAATTCGGCTAGCAAAACACGAAATGACATTTTCCCATTTAACTCTATTGCGTAATTTTGAACTAAGCCCTCCCAACATACTTATTATTGAAATTTAAAATAATTTGCCTAAACTGCTTAAAATGTCCCATGTAAGTTTGCAATTTTTTAACTGTTCCAACTGATAGTTTATTGTTTTTAATTACTTTATTACATCTCCAAATTTGACTATTTAACCGTCTTATCCAAACTTTACGATTCCTTTCAGTGAATTTATCAAAAATTATTTTACGAAGCTTTTTAATAATATGCAGCAAATTATCCGACTGTTTAATCACTTTTTTTATGCATGGCTACTCGCACAAAGAAAAATGAGAAAATATCACTCACCTCTGCAATCTAGTTTTCTACTATTCTAAATGACTGGGCTAGATGTTTTCCCGCTGCAACCGTTCCCTCATATATTATTGAGTATTTTTGTTTGGAAAAGTACTCTAAATATGGGCTGTAGACTTTTGTCACTCGCCCTGGCAGAAACGTGGTCCTCTCTACTAGCTCCAGCAAAAAATCTTGACCAAATTTACTTTTCACTATCTTTGCCGATAGTATTTTCTGTGGCTTAATAAGTGGCAACTCGTTAATTTTATTGTTGGTTTTCTCTCTGCAATAGACGAGAATGCGTTCAGTTTGGATAGATCCATCTACAACAATAGAAACAACTATAGTTTTTCTCTATTTAACGTACATGGGGGAGATGCATTACATACTTGGGAGAGAGAGAGAGAGAGAGAGAGAGAGAGAGAGAGAGAGAGAGAGAGAGAGAGAGCGAAGAAGCATATACTACGAAGAAATCGAAATACGAAAAGACGAGAACACTTCTGATATAAAAAAAAACAAATACAAAAAACAATTTAAAAAAATAAAATACTATATGAAATCGAAATACACAAAAAAAGGAAGAACAATATACTGCATGACATTGAAACACGAAAATAGAAACACAATTTTTATAAAACTAGCAGTCGTAAATTGTTTGAAAGTATACACATTGAAATAAAGAGCATAATAAATACTTAAATATATAAAAAGAGAACAACGCTTACCTTTATCGAATATATTTTTTTACTGCACAACGTACTGAAGACTGCCAAATTGCTGTAGTAAGTTTGAGATGCGAACTGTGACAACGTATGTGCTACTCGGCCTTTTAAAGAACCGAACTGCATATCGCCCCACGCGAGCCCAAGTTGCGCCAACCTAATGCACCTACGGTACCATCAACTGATCCGTTTCAAAGAGATAAGCGACGCGTGGTGTACTAAAATGATAATATTTTTATTTCTTCAAATAATTTTTATGTTATACAATAAAGTAGATATTGCGGTAAGAGGATCGTTGTTATCAATTTAGAAACTTGTGATTGTGGTTACCGTTATCATCATACATTTTGCAAAATGTAGCAACTGCGGTTTTCTTTCCGGTGTACTTATTTTTCCAATGATTAAAATAAAATTTGTTATCAAACTTTTACATTTTACAATACGATGACGCCTTATTTTCTCCATGGTCTTCCCGAACACAGCATTATTCATCAATTTGAACAAATTTTTCTCGAAGCTACTTGTGGCTGCTGCTCGTAAGTTGGTATTTAATTCAATGTACGGTCGCAGCCATGCAGATTGATTAAATTTCAAAACTCTATGTATGTCTATGTATCTCTAAGTAAAATGATAATATTTTTATTTCTTCAAATAATTTTTATGTTATACAATAAAGTAGATATTGCGGTAAGAGAATCGTTGTTATCAATTCAGAAACTTGTGAATGTGGTTACCGCTATCATCATACCTTTTGCAAAATGTAGCAACTGCGGTTTTCTTTCCGGTGTACTTATTTTTCCAATGAATAAAGTAAAATTTATTATGAAACTTGTTTACGTGTTTTTAACCATGCGAGGTCATGTTATCACTATGTCTTCATCCGGTTTTGCTAACAAATACACAATTTGAATATTATTATATTTACATATTTCTTTATATGATATTATTATATTTAAATATTTCTAAATTAAGATGCTGGCCTGTTTACATGTCTTATTGTTGCTCTATGTATCTGTGTGTGCAGAGAATAGCACTCTGAGGTATGCTAGTTCTTTTCTTAAACGTTTCGGATATCTAAATACATCAAGTAATGCTATTTCTAGTGTAGATATGGCCTTAATTGAATTTCAAGAAAGATACAATCTTCCGGTGACCAAAACATTAAAAAATGTTATTGTTATTGTGTCTTTTAAAATGTCGAACGTCACGTCAAAACGTCACACGTCACGTAAGTCGAATGTCACGTTATTCACGCGACATTTCACATTCTACGTCGAATGTCACGTCCTGCGTCGAATGTCACGTCATTTCACGTTACATTTTACGTTCTATGTCGAATGTCACATAACTGTCACGTTCTGCGTAGACGTTCTCTTAGACACTGTACGGAGAAGAAGAAGAAGAATGGTCAAGCATTGACATGGCTTCTGTGTCACCAACGCTTTCATTTGACACCTCATACGTCAAAATCAGGCCAATAGCAACGAAGATACGTTTTACCGCCCATTTGGCAATACTGCCATCTTTGTTTGTTGTCTCAACATATTTCCCGCCTTCTCCACGTTCCAACGAGC